CTCTTCTTCCACAAGGGAGCAATACGTTTCTCCATCTCAGAGACACTCCAAAGCCATCAAGCCCCGAGTGCTAATCTGTCGAGGCAGGCACTGCACCATGCCTTCTCCTTTGCCCCGAGACCATGCCACTGCAATGATGCCTCTTTCTTTGAGGTGGGCCGTGAGGAGGTTGGGAGGTGGGGAAAGAAGGCCACGGGGATCGGAGGGAAGGCGCCACTCGGGACCCCTTCTCCCCTCTTCTGCTCCAGAACCGGAGCCACCAGCTGGGCCCTTGGCTCTTCCTTTGCTATCTTTGACAAACATGGGAATACAGAGGTCCCTCTGAGTTCGCTGGGGTTAGGCATGAAGGGGCCCTGCAAATGTGGAAAAACTGCAAATAAAATAAAACACTCTTCTTTTTACCAGAGAGAACATCTCTCTAGGAATCTCCAGGTCCTCCAGTGCAACTCTGTGGTCAACATCTGCCAGAAATTGAGGACAGAATCAAGCTGGAGGACCTACAAATGTCTAGAGAGGTGATTTCTCTATGAACTTCTAGGCTCTCCAGCACAACTCTATGGTCAACCTCTGGCAGAGTTGCGCTGAAGGACTCAGAGATTCCTAGAGAGAACACATGAATCAAGACCTCAAAGAATCAAATCTGCAAAAGTCCAAGCTGCAAATGTGGAGGGCCAGTTGTACCCTGGGTTTGTCGGATGTGGTGGAACTTGAACTCAGGGTCCATGGGGATCAAAGCCTTCCTCCTCTCTGTGTGACCAGGCGGCCAAAGGAAAGAACTGCAAGGAATTTGGGATGGCTGTTAGTGGCGCCACCACATCCCAGAATCCTCCTGCCCTGAGGTGTTTGGGCGACCAGAGAGAGCCCAGCTTGATCTAGAGTTGCATCTGGAAAGCTCCTCATTTAAAGATGGCCCCCCACTGACCTTCTGTCCTGCTTGGGTTCTCTCCGAAAAGGACTCCCGCAGAACGGGGAGCCGGACAAACATTATCATCAGTTATCCTTTAAAACTCTTTCCCTAAGCTTTGACATAACTTCTTGCAAATAACTGGTTACTGGTAAGTAATCCCTTTCCAATAATAAACATGTAACCGAGTTACGTTATGGCTGCAAAGTAATGAGAGCTACTAGGGCCGTGGCCACACTGCAGACTGAATGCAGGTGGACACCACTTTAATTGTTATGGCTCCGTCCTATGGAATCCTGGGATTTGTAGTTTGTTGTGGCACCAGAGTTCTCTGACAGAGAAGGCTAAAGATCTCACAGAACTACAGTTGAGCCATGGCAGTTAAAGCAGTGTCAAACTGGATTATTTCTGGAGTATGGAAGCAACCTCAGTGATGGTCTTCAGTCTCTCATAGTTCCTCTTCTCTGTGGACTTTGTTTCTCTTCTGGTTGTTCAATACTTTGTTGCCCTTCTGGATTGCTTTGTCAATTTCACATTTCCCACATAATTGCAACAAAGCAAAATGAAGATTTATTTATTTTTTGTAAAAAAAAAAAAGCACTTACCTATTTTTGCAATGTAACTGTAACTTTTTGTCACTGCTCTAGTTCTGGGGTGTTTGGCTTCACTCAGTAGGGAAGGAAAGCAGTCACCGGGTCCAAGGGCTGGCCCAAGTCTTGGCTATGGGATTTGGAGATTTGGGCTGCATCTCCACTGCAGAATGCATGCAGTCCGACACCACTTTAATTGCCATGGCTCCATGCTATGAAATCCTGGGATTTGTAGTCTGTTGGGACACCACAGCTCTCTGACAGAGAAGGCTAAATAGCCCAGGAGGAGACCAGCTTTGTGGGAGGCTGTACTCTGAACCTCCAGATATTTGGGACAACAAATCCCAGAACTCCTAGCCAGCATGATAAACCCTGGGGGATTCTGGGTGTTCAAAATATCTGGTAAGCCAAAGGTTCCCTATCGCAGAGGAATTGCCAAGATGTAATTCTTATTCTTCTTTCGAATCTAGTTCATTTATTAAATACAGGTCAATGCTGATTAAAGTCATTCATTTGTTTTTCAAATGCATCACAATTTTCTGCAGTCTGCAAACACCAATATTCAATGTGATTCTTCTCCGTTGCCCGTTGCAGACTCTCTGCTGTTGTAATTACTTTAAAATATTTTGATCTTTTTTTTAAAAAAAAAAAAAAAGACATACACAGAGGGGTGCATTTTGCATTTTGGGGATTCAGGCCAGGGGCAGATGCAGGTGCAAAGGGGAAAGAGGAGCTTTAAAATGGCCATTTTCCATGCTGATTTCCAAGCCTCTGCCTTTCCCTCTTTCCGTTGGCATGTGAGCCAAGCTGGCAAAAATGCCCGAGTGGGTGGGATTTCTGCTAAGACAATTCCTGTAACAAAGGAGGGGAGGGCATCGTATATTTAAAACCTCTCTGCATATTTATGGGAAGCTGCTCGGGGCTTTTCTCCACATTCATATTGCTGTCCCCTGGTGACAGAGGAATTAAAGATATTTGCCATTCATCACCAAGGCCTGGCAGGGCTGCCAACTGAGGAATTGATATTAATGGTGGCATTTAAAAAAAAAAGTTGGGGGGAGGATGCTGGTAAGGAAGGAACTGTGCCAAAAGAGATTTTGTTTTATGATCGCAGGACTGTGTGAGGCAACCTTATGTAGCATTGGGCTTGTGACTTTCTGGTATTGCCAATTCTGACTGGTAGCAGCCATGGCTTGCCAGGACTATGGGCTGGGTTCTTTCCCAGTGGTGATGCCCATGGGGGAATTGAATCCGGGGCCTTCTGTGTAGGAACAGAGGAAACGACTCTTATTCTGAGTCAGGGCCTTGATCCACCTGCCTTAGTACAGTCAACTCTGACTGGCAGCAGCTTCAGACAGGATTCCTTCCTAGCCGTTCCCATCCAAGGGCTAACCAGCCATGACCCAGCTTAGCTTCCGGAGATCAGGCAAGGTCAAACAGGGTGCTGCACGCGGAGGGATCATTTCAAAGCACTGGTTTTGACCTGTCAAGGCCCACACGGCGTGGGTCCCAGACTCTCTGAGAGACTGTCTCTCCGTATACAAGCCATCGCCAGCTGCTTTAAGAGCTGCTGCTCTCCCCCATCCCCATGAGCCCCTTCTTCT